TGATCGATTTATTTTTCAAAGTATGATTTTAATTATTTGGCATTTGACAGTCATTTTTATTTTCATTGAAAGAAATTATATTTATCTCACTTTTAGCAAATGTATATATTTCTGTCTTTCTCTAACTTCTGATTCTGAAATAATCATTTTTTGCCTAATGACCTAATTAATTAGCAGTTTTTTGTTTCTAACATAGCCTTAATTCAAATTATTATAATTTGTAAACAATTAAAATAATTCTAGTGGATTTTTATCTATTCCCTTTTATTCCACGTGGTTTTTCATTGTTAAGTGAATATGGTCTCTTGGGTGTAGTCTTCTGATTAGTTGATCTGGTTAAAACGCAGTTTAGTATGAAAAACACAGGATTGTTTTCCTATAGGGTTTGGTTTCTAAAACGTTCTCTTTTCCTGGCAGTAGTCTTGCAGGCGAGTCATTTTTATTTTTATAATTTTTCATTTACATTTTTAGATTCTTCCTTATAAATTTTTCAATACATTTTACCATCAGTGCATATTATCATATCATTGTTAAGTTTTTACCTGATAAATCTATTCTTATCTATACTTGAAATATAAATATCATATTTCAATTTTTTATCTAATTGTGGGCCTCCATTTTGTGTGATTGGTGGTTCCACGTTTTTTGAGGTGAGTCAATTCAGTTTTTGGGCTAATAAGGTACTGCTGCTGTGGTTTTCAGAATCAATTGTTAGTGTGGGAATATTGGACCGTTTGCTCTAAATAGAGTCGGTGAAAACCAAATTTGTGTGTCCATCCCTATCAAGTCTTTATTGAATCCAGGCAGAGGTCTGTATAGCCATTTTCTGTTTGACTCCATCAATTATTATTTTCTCGAGGAGAAGAGTATTGAAAAAGGGTGCAATTCTTTAAAATAGAAATCCAGACAGGTCAAAAATTCATTTAAAAAGTTTCAATTAAAACATCTCAAGAATTTTGACATATTCTGGATTTGATTGATTTCACCTTCAGGTTTATCTTGTAGTACCTATAGTAGCTACCTTGGCTTGAAAGGAAAATTTTGTCTATTTAGGGGAGAATCTAAAAATTTAATTTCTTAATTTTATATCTGATTTTGTTCATATTCTTGCCTGTTATTGCTACTGCTGCAATTATAACGAGCATTTTAATTTAATCTTGCTGTTATTACCTATTTTAATTTTACTATTATCTTACCGTTATTCTCAATTATTTAATGTTTTTTTTTATATTAAAATATTTCTCTAATTTGCAATAATCGCTCATACTTACCTGATTCTGTAGGAAGGAAGTGTTTGCACAACAATAGCTGTGACAGAATGCAGGGATTTAATATTCCAAATCTTGGTGAACCTGATACTGCCTTATTCTTTTCTGGGTACCTACTCGACATAAATATCCCTGTTTGGAGTCTGGATCAGCTGGAGTGACGTCACCCCAGCAATCTATTCTCTTTCCTGGATACAGGAAACAACACGAAGAGCTCCATTTCACGAAAGTGAAACCCCAACACCCATTGAATATCTCCGGATTGGAAAGGTACATGGTATCAGATTCACCGGAACAACCAAGCTGTCAACTGTCATGTTTTAAAGAAAGTGGCATTGTCACTATATTGTTAAATATCAAATAAGATTATTGTTTGTTGGATTTTGAGTGGTTTCATTTGCACATAAAGGGACTACACGTTATCTTAATTTTTTGAATTCCACGATCCTTAGGTTCTCTAATCTTAAAATTCAAATAACGAGTATTATTTGTAACAATATATAGAAATGTTGAAAAAATTTGTATAAAGTATAAAAAGAATTACGATAATTCATCATTGGATGAACTCAAAATTATTAATAATATAAATAATACAAGCTCAAATTTATAATAAATTATATTGATTATATTAATCAAGTAAAACTTTCTAAATTTATTGATATGCCTCATAGATAATGTCACTTTTTCGCTAATAATTAGCACTAGTTTTAAATATAATGATTAATAATTTTTTTTGTTGCCAAATTTATGTAGAAACCTTATCGTAATTCTCCTTATACTTTATACAAACTTTTTTAACATTTCTATATATTTATGTAAGTCTTTACGTTTAAATCAATGTAAGTATTTAAATCTTTTATATTTGTAAAAATAACCATAATCTTAATAATATTGTAGAGTCCTGATGGTGAAGTAAAAATAATTCGAAAGCTTGACGACATATTGATAGTTGTCGTAATATAGACTGTTTGGCCGATATCCCTGTGACTTCTTTCTCGAAAATTAATTACTACGGCAGTTAAACTTCTCAACATATTATAATATATTCATATACTTCACTTAGTGTGATATCGGACGATATCTCCTTACAGGGTGATGTAAGAAAAAAAATTAAATTACAAAGTTGTTTGATACTCTAATATGCATTAGTAAAAAATATTTTTGAAAATACAGGCTCCGTTTATGGGGTATGCGACAGAACTTTTGTTATTTTGAATAGAACACCCTGTATATGATTACAAATTTGGATTTTATGTAAAATTCTGAGCAGGTTTCATGTAATATACCTTATACCTAAGTTCAACTGTTTTAGAAATATTGACAGTTGAAAATTGACTTTTTGCAACTTTGACAGGCTGTAAAACCTGAACGGTTAATTTTACAAGAAACCCGATTTCATATGCCTATCTTAGATTTTCATAATCTATCATTTGACACAAACTTTGAATTTAACTGGAATTTTCAATCATGGATTAAATTCAAAGTTGGTGTCGAATGATAGTTTATAAAAATCAAAGACTGGAATGTGAAATCGGTTTTCGTCTAAAATTAACCGTTTAGGTTTTACATCCTGTCAAAGTTGCAAAAAGTCAATTTTCAACTGTCAATATTTCCAAAACAGTTGAACTTGGGTATATAGTATATTACATGAAATCTGCTCAGAGTTTTACGTAGAATCCAAATATGCAATCATATACAGGGTGTTCCATTTAAAAAAACAAAGTTCTTTCGCAAACCCTATAAACGGAGCACCCTGTATATTCAAAAATATTTTTAACTAATGCGTATTAAATTATCAAATAACTCTGTAATTTAATTTTTTTTTCTTGCATCACTCTGTAAGGAGATATCGTCCGCACTAAGTGGACACCCTGTATAAATATTATTGATCACATTTGCGTGAGCCATTTTTGACATATCTTAGCTTAAATTATAAATAATTTGCAAAGAAATTTCATAGGGATGTCAAGAGATATAATCTTTCGGTCGTTAATAATTGTTATACGCGCTCGGGTCGCCTATGGATAGTAATTTTCACAAAAAAAGTATGTCTTGAGATATACCGCTTGTTTAGTAAACTCTTATTCACTCGTACCAAATTATCACGATTTGCAATGTTTTTTTTTGTCTATTTCCCATTATTTTTATCAAAAACTAATAAATTTAAGAAATAAGATGACATTTAGTAAGTCAGTGAGAGTTGCGGCTCAAATCATATGAACCTATCAACGGACCTCAACTTGCGTAATGTGCGTTTAATCAAGTTTAATTCGCCTTTTCATGTAATGCTTATATGTTCCTATTCTACTTTTTCTTTGTCTCAAATCATTGATGATGGAAATTTATGTAATAAAACAGAAAATAAACTAAAATTTATATCTTCTTGGAAAAACATAAAACGTGAATGTGGAAATATTTAAAAAGTTAAGTGAATTATTGGGTTTGGTATAAAATACGATACGATCTTTGATAATATAAAGAACTCCGCCTCCGAGCTATTCAATTCAAAAAATAAAAATTGGAGAGTGAACTGTACCTACCTTAATAAGTTTGCAATATAGTTAGTTGTTGCTATATACATTTTATTGAATATCCGGAGAAATTAATCAAACTCAAACAAAATTGTAAATTTGGAACAAAAATATTCGCTGCCAGCTCGGAGTTTTTAATTAAGGTTAGAATGAAAGTTAAAATATTTCGCCCAAAATCATACAAAATTGAAACTGCTTTTATCGTAATTGGTCCATTTAAATTATAGCTGAATGTTGATTTTAGGCAGCAGAGCTGTTGTATAAATATTTTCATCAAATTCGCAGAAGTTCCTAATTGGTTCATCATATTATTTGCGACATCGGCATCAAGGAATATTCATTGGATAAAAATAAATGCGAAATTTGAATATTTATATTCAAGTTAAAAATTATTTATTTCTAAATAAGGTATTATTTTTGTATAAATTTGTTATTTTTATCATTTTTTTTTTTAGGCCCGGTGTATTCATCCTCAGATAAACTTGCTCCTAACTATCTGCGCCTAACTATTTACTGTTCTCTAATCACACTGGTCAGCGCCGCAGTCTAATTAAATTTTATTTTTAGATGTTTACTTAGTTTTTCTAATTTTTTTCCAAATAAAAACTATAAAATTTTTGTTAAGCATTTTCCCCTGATAAAATTATTATTTAGTGGTCATTACAGCCATTGGAATATTCAAAAAGCTTCTCTCGCTTGCCATTCTACTAGAACAACTCAACCAGCGCAATACATGAACTAACAATAACTCAGGAAAAGCATTACAGTTCTACCTACTAACAAAGAAATATAAATTTCTCAAGCCGCATAAAAGTTCTTTTAAAAAGCTAAAAGATCAGTAACTTAAGATTACATAATATAAAAGATTTATCATAATCATCTATTTAAGGGTTGGCTAAGTGCAGAAATGCATTTCTCTCGGAAATATTATTTCAGGAGAAAAATTAGAACAATCCGCGCCATAAGGAATATACTCAGTGCCCATTTAAATGGTTTCACGGCATGCCATTTTTTTAAAATGTATATTTTGAACTTTTTCAATGTTATATAAACCTCAAAGCATAAATAAATACGAAAATATCAGAAGATAAAACCGAAATTGAAGGTCGTATAATTCTCCCCAAAATGTGAAATAGAAACGCGAGTGCACTTAAGAATATTTTATCGCAAATCCCATTTAAAATCTGAAATTCAAACTTACCGCAAGTGTAAACTACTTTTAGATACATGCGAGACTGGGGCTTGCAAGGGCTGCCAAAAGTGCCTATATCGGCTGCGAGGTCACAGTTTCTTTTGCCATGGCAAAGTTGCATAACAGTTTCTGTGGCGTAGCTGGCTAGGCAAGCTGCAAAAGTAAAACGGTCTTATTAACATACACTTTGAAGAGATTATATACAGCTCGAACAAACAAGTTTGGGTTTCATTTTTTATTTGAAAAGAAACATTTTACAAATATACCATAGTCGATAGAAGTAAGATTTCAGGAGTCCTTATTCTATCACTCCCATATGGCTACTCAAAATTGACAATATTTGCGCTGGCATAAAATCTCTTGATTATAATAATAAATTAGTTAATTGAAGCATTTCTCACTTATATTCATAATTAAAATGGATTCTCATTTGCAGAGACATAAACTCCTCCATAAAACATGTGATATGAAGGTGTTCAAGCTGAATTCAATAGATGGTAACAATGAAACGTTATGGAGAACGAGATTAGTCCGAAGACTTACCGGCATGTAACGAGCGGTATAACTCCATCAAACAATTGTTAATTGTAGCACTTAAGCTGCACTTCACATTGCAGCTTAGCAAAACTTAATTCCTTAGAACTAACTTTGATGAGATTTGAAAGTTCAGAATAGAGAAGTTCAGATTATTTTTTGACTTCATGTCGGTGGAAGATGTATGCAAATAGAACTTTATATTTCTATTATTTATAACCCGATGTTCCTTTTTCTTATAATTTTAGAAGTGAATCCTAAAAATATTTAATTTTGCTTCGTATCATAAAGTGTCTTTATTTTTGTTTGTAGCCCTTTATTACTTCTTGGCATAATAGGAAATCAAATCATAAGGACAAAGGACACATAAATATAATATATAGGTACTTGTAAAGAGCCGACGTTAATGAGATATTTTTATCTCAAAACATATTTGAACTCCCAAAATAATCGAGCTACCCACAAAATAAATTACTCATCAATATGAAACGTACCTGATGCGTTAACGGAGGTATTACAACAAAAGTTTTTGCTATTTCACAAACTCTATGTTTTTTGTATAAAAGTATAACTATATTATATATTGTTGAAATAATTTATTTTGTACCTAGTGATTTGAAAAAGGTACCTTAACTTGAATTTCTATTTTCATTTTCCCAACCTTTACTCAAATTGTTATGTAGAGATAGTAATAAATCATACCTGACTGACAGAGCCAGCAACTTTATGATAACTATTGAAAAAATTTGACGGAAATTTTGTAGCGAGAGAGTTTATATTCAACATTTAAAGTTTAATCCATTTTTCTGATACCTTGGCGAAACAATTAACTAACATTCCTGACAATGCAAATTTATAATCTCAATTTAAAGGGGTATGATGACCTTTTTGTTTTGAAAAAATTGTAATTGGTATTTTCTTTGCATATAATTTTATTTCAATCTAGGTAATGCAAAATATTATTTATCTATTTACCCTCATATACTTGAAGAAAATTATTATTAAAAAACTTTCAAATATTCTGGTCCTCGAGCCGTTTCGGAGCTACGGTCATCCATAGGCGTGCGAATAAGAGTCCGATTGCAAGCGTCGCGTTGAAAATTTTACTTTAAAACACAAAAAACAAACCATTCTAAGGCATAATTATTAGACATAATTGTTTAGAATATACTTACATGAAGCTGTTAGACTGAAAATGTTACAAATGTACAGGGTGGACACTTTTATTGGTAGGTACTTATATTTGAATATATCTTATGACAGATGCATAACGCTCATATCTTTTATTAGATATTTGTAGTGGTTTCGGTTATACAAACTTTATTCAAATACTATATTATAAATCACTTCATTTTTTTTTTTTTTATACATGGTCATTCAAAAGTTATTGTTAATTAATTTTAAGTTAAGATAAAACAAACAACAGTTTGCAATAGCAAAACTTCCTGACTCAAGCCTAGTACTCATAACTGCGAAATTCGCTTTTTTTTGACATTGCTTCGACACTTTGACGTTTGATACACGCATGAAATGTCAAATTGTCAAAAAAGTGCGAATTTCGCAGTTATGAGTACTAGGGTTTACTTTTTTGCTTCTTGTATGTGATTTCACACTGTGCAGGGAACGAAACTTTTGACATTACATTGTATACTCAAGTAGCGAATATATTTATAATGAATATAATGGTTAGAATAGTATACTATGCAATGATCATGTAATGATAGCCATTAATACACGAGCATGTTGTAGGATAAGAAACGAGCCGCAGGCGAGTTTCGTATATAACATGCGAGTGTATTAATGGCCATTACATGAGAGTTGCATACACTATTTTTTCTACTTGCATTAATGAGCGAAAAACATATTTATTTTATAAGAATTAGGTGCTAGATGACGTCTCACACATAACCTCAATGACATGTTTGTCCCCCTAACGAAAGTCACGTTATGTCATTAGTGACAAGCTAGTGCCTGTGTGTTAGAAGGATCTTTCAAACGCTTTGTTTGTCCCCCCAACGGAAGTGAGGTTATGTATGTGACGTCAGCTAGTGCATATGCAAGTCTGTTATTTTTATATAAACATTGTTCATGTTCAAAATACTCGATTCCAGTGGCTGAAAAATCTGTATCATAATGAAAATCTGTATCGTAATGAAATTCATTATGAAATAGATTTTAGGCGTATTATGAAACGTCAGTAGAAAATAGTATATTATGCAATGATCATGTAATGATAGCCATTAATACACGAGCATGTTGTAGGATACGAAACGAGCCGCAGGCGAGTTTCGTATATAACATGCGAGTGTATTAATGGCCATTACATGAGAGTTGCATACACTATTTTTTCTACTGCCATTGATAAAACTTATGATATTCATTTATGTCAATATTATGCTTGACTTTGAATATAGATTTTATAATTGAGTAATCCATACAGTTGAAGGTTTCATTTTTTGTTGTAATTCTTCAAAATATACTATCAAAACATTTTCTGAGAAGGACGATTTGTTTTTGGTGTTTCCAATCCATAAATTGTCCATATCATTTTTCGCAAATTTTCTTGGACTTGTCCGGTAGTATATTATTACCTGCATTTGTCGGCTTTTCTGTAATTTCTGGGGGTGTTAGTGAAAATTCTTCGTTATCACTCAATATTTCCATAATAATGCCTTAGGCCAAACATTAGGTAGGTAACTTTTAATAACAATTCGAAGTATTTTTTTCATGAAATTATTGTTTTCCGCTAAATTACCATGGAAAAGCTATAAACAAAGTGCTGTCATCATTCAAAAAAATAATAATTCAAAATTTCTTAACTGGTGGCGCCATCTATTGACAATGTATAATAATTAAAAAAGTAAAAATTCTTCCTTATCACTCATTATTTCTATAATAATTTTTCATTGTCCCAAACTTTAGATAACTTTTAAACAATTCGAAGTCTTTTTTATAGTTATCAAAATAATTGTTCCACGCAAAAATACTGTTAAAAATGTTCAATATCTTAACTAGTGCTGCCATCTATCAACATTGTATAATATTAAAAATGAGTATTATAATGAAAATCTGTATCGTAATGAAGTTCATTATAATACAGATTTTAATCGTTTAATATCGTATTATGAAATGTCAGTAGAAAAAATATTATTCGAAATAGATTTTCAATTTTAAACGATTAATGTGAAAGATCAAAAAAGAAAAACAAAAGCCAACTAAGTGCAAATGTAAAAAGCTAAATTACGTAATATAATTACCTAAATATGTTGATTGATTATTCTGTAATAACAAATAAAATTAAGAACTCAACGTAAAATATCTAGGTTTAAAGATCTATAATTTTGATAATGCTCAACACTTAAAACTGGGTTGGCACTTTCGGTTTTATTATATCAAATATCAAACATAGTTTTAGCACTAATCAAAAATACATTACTTTTCTCGACAAGTGTTTTGTTAAAAATGTTGACATCTTCAAAAGAAGAGAAACCATAATAGCTATTTAGGTTAGTTTGCAAGAGCCCGCGATACATTCATATTTATAGACCCTGAGATAGGGACTGTTTAGTGGGGTCATTTTTTTTTTCTCAGGCATTTTGACGGCTGAATGTGGTTAGTTAGCTGATGAGAATATGGGTGATTTTAATGCCAGCTTTCCGTTCGATAATTTGCAGAAGAAAAAAATTAATTTATAAAGCATTTTTTTTTAAAATGATCACTCGCGTTTGAATGAAATATTAACATTGATAAATAATTCACCCATAAAAAATACCACATGCTTTTCAATGGCTGAAAAAATGAGGATGGGTGTCAACTTGCAAGAGAGAAGTACAGAACGTTCGAAATCGAGTTTTTCGCGAAAAATTCTGTGGACGTTTCGAACGCGGAGCATTGGGAGCAGGAAATAGAACCACTTATATTCTCATCAGCTAACTAGCCACACCCATCCCTCAAAATGCCAGACAAAAAAAAATTACTCCCCTAAAAAGTCCCTATCTCAGGGTCTATTAAGAACAAACTAAATATCGTTTTGATTGTGAAATCGATTTGAAACATCTCGAACTTTTTCCAAGAGAGAGTTGGATGGAAATCTGATGTTCGCCAAATGCCTAGAATATCCCAGAAACCAAATAACGCTGGTTATGTGTGCACACATACAAACTGTCCTTGCACCAACTTTGCATGTGCAGTAATGGATAGTTATAGTAGCCTCATCGTACTGAATCCATATTTGATACTTAACAGCATTTCTAAACCGCGACCATATCCTGAGTCTTATTATATTATCTATTGAAATTGTGGTATCAATTTGGAAATTGTTACCCTGCTTATGTTGTCTTGCATCCTGAATATAAGATGGTGCAAGCTTCAGCTGGTAGGTGCCTATACCGTCAGTTCACTGAGATATTATGGGTTAAGGCGAAGAAAATCGGCTACGTGATGGTCTTTCTAAATTAACAAAAGTGCCATGACGTTACAGTAAGTGTTTATTTTGTATTCTTATTTGTAAAGTATTTTCTTGACTTGATTTTTGTAGTAATACTTCGGCTAGTTCAACATTTTCTCCTTACATTAATATAGGTTCCCGATATTTATTTATTATTGCCCCGCAGATAAGA